CCTAAGGCCTGTTCTACAATACAGTCGTAAGCTGTAAGTCGTAAGAAATTGACCAATCACAATCAATTATTCTTTTGTAATTTGTCTGTAATTGGTCGATTTCTTACGACTTACAGCTTACGACTGTATTGTAGAAGGCCCGTAAAGAGCCGTCTACAATGGAGAGTTGTAGGCCGTAATAGTAAGAAATTGACCAATCACAGGCAAAGTACAGAAGAATAATCGATTGTGATTTGTCAGTTTCTTACTGTTACAGTCTAAAACTCTCCATTGTAGACGACCCTTAAAACAAAAGCAGCCTCAGTAAGTATAGAGAAGAGACTCATATGCCAAGCTGCGTTCCGTTTCACGCATATGCGCGCATTTATCTATATTATACGTTACGTGTACTATAGACATGCGCGCATATGCGTGAAACAGAACGCAGCCATAGGCTGCTTTTCTTTTAAGAGACACAGTCGACACAAGTCGACACAAAAGTCATTCTGTCTTTGTTCAGTATTCAGTGAGAAACAAAGACAGAATGACTCTTGTGTCGACTTGTGTCGACTGTGTCTCCTAAAAAGAAAGCAGCCATAGACATGCTGTTACTGCGTTGGCGTATATGGCTGCGTTCCGTTTCACGCATATGCGCGCATGTATCTATAGTACACGTTACGTATAGCATGGTGGAAGCTTTGCTCAACAGTTGAAACAGCGCTTGAGCGCTGGTGCTAAAGCGCCAATATCTGCATGAAGATTCAGGCTTAGACTGCGTTCAGGGAGCGCGCTATCAGCGCTGTTGCATCATTCTATCTTTATTGCTCATTAGATGTAAAACAAAGATAGAATGACGCAATAGCGCTGATAGCGTGCTTCCCGAACGCAGCCTTAGTCATGAAACACCGAATTTCATGATTGGCCACTGCATTGAAATTTGAGGTTGGAGATTCGAGACCTGAGGGCGATGTCCCATTGAGCGGAAATATATAGCGGAACGGAATATGCGGAACTAGCTCGACCAATCATAGCCATTCCGTTTTCTTTCCTTCGCTTTTTCTGTGGTTACGATTGGTTGAGCTGGTTCCGCACATTCCGTTCCGCTATATATTTCCGCTCAATGGGACATCGCCCTGAGGGCTGAAATTTGAGATTGGAGACGAGATCTAAGATTTGAGAAGCGACTATGAATTCGGGCCTCATTGCGAAGATACGCGACTAGCAATATAGAACAGAGCCTTCCAACTCGCGCACGGCGTGCGGTTTGCGCCATAAGATTTCTATGCGGTCACGTGATCAGTTGGAAGGCTCTGATATAGAAGTATTACATAGGCTGCTTTCCTTTTAGGAGACACAGTCGACACAAGTCGACACAGGAGTCATTCTGTCTCTGTTTCTCACTGAATACCGAACAAAGACAGAATGACTTTTGTGCCGACTTGTGTCGACTGTGTCTTCTAAAAGGAAAGCAGCCATATATGGTTAATATAGAGTGTATTCCGTTTCATGCATATGCGCACATTATCCTATTGCATGTTACGTGTACTATAGAATTATGGCGCATCTCAGTCACTGCGCAGAACGTGACGAAAATCGTTCGAGATACGAGCACACCTTATTACTTCCACCATGATGTATAGTATAGATAAATGCGCGCATATGCGTGAAACGGAACGCAGCTTATATATTTCCAAAATTCCTTGCGCGCAAGCGCTAAACGGGGGAGGGCAAAGCGGCGTTGCCATCGGTCAGTCGTTGACTTGCGATCTCCCCACCGGCAACGTCGCTCGCTGCCAGTTCGTCGTTGTGTCGACGACGTAGCGTGTGATTAGGTGGTATTTGCGCGGCCCTAAACACACCTGATGTTTGTGTTTTCGAGTTTCGCGTGATAAAGTTAATATCTTTGTCACGCGAGCGCCTTCGTGCGCGACAACCGGACGTGTTTTTTTTCGGGGCATGTAAAACTGTCACAGAGGATCGACGTCGCGCACCGTCGGTCCCTCCTTCCGAGATGTGGACAACGACAAAAACCACCAAGTACGGCGTCGGTGAGTTTTATCTCAAGGCGACGGAGAAAGATCCCTCTCCCGCTTCGCTGATTTGTTCTTAACTTTGCAACACATGCGGACGTAACGCATGATGAATTCTCGTGCAGACAAAAAATGTACGACAAAATTAACTGTGCAACAATAACAAAAAAAAAAGTTTCGTTGGTAGTTACAGAATAAGGGAACTGACTTTTTTCCTCGCTTGCACGAATCTCCGGCAATTCCGTCGGCGACTAACTTCGGAGCTGTCAAACGACGGAGAGCGCGCGCGGCAACAATCTCGCAAGAATCACCGAGCATCACACCGGCGTGTGACAGCTCGTGTATGCGTGCGATCTCATGAAGCGGCTTTGTGCCGACATCCAATCGCCGCGAAACAATACGTCAACAAGATCTTGACGGCGGCGAGACTCTCTCGCTTGCCGGCGAAAGATCCTTGCGTGTGTGTGCGTCGCGCGCGTATGCGTGCGTATCTCTGCGTGCGCTCCATTCATGCATTGATCGTGCGCGCGAGTAGTAAGGTCCGCGCTTGGTAAGCCGACTCCCGATCCCCGGATGCCTGCCGGATCTTTTCCAGAATTCTCAGGGCGTTTGATCACAGGACGGTCCAATCTCTTTCTCTCTCTCTTTCTCTTTCATGTATCTTCAAAATCGTCTTATTCAATGAATACGTGCTCCACATTCGTGTATTTTAAGACGTCTTCGCAAAAATCGACTCGTATGTTGTTAGAATGCTCCAATTTGATGTGTTTACTTCTGACAAAGTTCGAACACTTGATACGACGTCCATCACGGATATTATTTTACGCGCTTGTTGACAGTTAGATAACAAAGTCGATTGCAATAAAAAATTTCTGGCATTTTGCAAAATAAGCATGAAACAAGAGCTTGCGGAGAGACCATTTATATTAACACAATCAAATTATTTAGTTATTAAATATAAAGGTATGCAATATCGCCCGCGCGCGGTATGCGCGAAACGTGTTTACGAAGTAAGATTTATTACAGGAATTTAATCGCTGTGGAATGTCTGTGTGCAACAGCGGCGATTAACCGCGTTAAGTAGTCGAGAGTCCGCTCTCGAGGATCTCTCTGACGCGGCGAAAAATAAGCGAATGCGAATTGCACGCATAGAGGCTTCGGAATCGAAGTCAATTCGCTTCGCGCGGAGTCATGTGTCTGCATATTTTTTTTTCCCTCGCGATTAATTCATTCTCGCGTTAATCCTCCAATTAAAGTCGTTGTCGGTTTCAATCTTTTCCAAGCAAATGTTAAGCGACTCTCTTAATCGAATATAAATAAAATCTTGCCGACGAGAGGACAGAGATCGTATCGATCCTCGATCGTTCCGATCAATTTATCGAAAAAAAAAAATTACATGTAATTCATTTATCTTCTTAAAGAGTTTCGTTATCTTAAATCTACTTTTCTTCGCCGAGTTAAGTTTTCAACATCGAGTCGAGTGTGTTCGTTCACACTCTCCTTGTCATTCGCTTCCAGGATTTTTCTCGATCGCACGCAATATAGATAAGTATCTCCGTGCAGATTGACTTTGTGTCAGCGCGATTAAAGCACAATCTTCCAATCTACTAATACGTGCGACACTATTCACGCGGTCATGTCCCTATGCATTATTTCTTCTTACCGTCGTAGAACCGCGCGATCGTGGGTCTGTCTCTCTCTCTCTCTCTCTCTCTCCCCGCGATACAAAAGTCTGCAGATGTATTATTGCTGCCATTTACCGAGACCCTCAGAGCTCTCTCCACGTTCTAAGCGCGCGGATACACAGGCAGATCCATTTCAAACACAAAAACATCGAAAAACTTTTCCAACACGTCGCGTTTGATGGCAAGACCGTCGTGATATATTATCCTACCGAGGCTATCATTCTCTCGTTGTAACGAGACAATTTTATCCATCAGAATAATTTCGTTTTGAGAAAAAATTGTATAACATATAAATTCTTTTATTATCTCTATACTTCTTGTTATATCTTTTATTGTTACTTTCTTTTTCGCTCAATACGTGGCAATAAATTGCGCACTCGTTATCTACGCAGTGCTATGCAACTTTCGAGAACTCTTCAGTCTTTCGCATAAAAGTTAATATTAGTATCGACTATCACTCGCAATGAGTGACGTTATCGGCGCACTTTCCACCGCGACTCGACTTCGCAGTTTGATAACCACATTTTCGTGCGCAAAAAGCCCCTGGTAATTTAAACGGTAGGTACGTACTTGTAGTGGGATGCGCCACTGGTGCTTTTGACGTTTTATGATCGCGTATAAAATGGCATTTCCGTCGCAAAAAATGTGCACCGTGTTCATCTCTCGTCGTCGTCGTGGCGAAGATAGTCGCGTTTCACTTTACTGGAAATTGTTTTTTTATTTTTTGTTGCAAGATACGATTAAATAAATTTTTCCCGAAATAAATACGCGCGCCGTTTGATTCTTAACAAATTTTGAAGAACAGGAAAGAATTTGCGATCAATTTTTCATATGTTGTTGTCATTTTTCCGCCAAGAATTATAGGCGACGAAACGGAAGTCTCCTGTCACACGAGAGAACGTTATGCGATGTCACATGTCATTGTCTGTATCTTCATTTTTGCGACCCTACCGAAATGACGCACCCACCTCCTCCTCGCCAGCATTTTATTGATGTCCGTACGCCAGTTCCGCACGTGTGACTGTACTACACCACGTGTGTGCGTGCATCCAGTGGGAACTGCTAATGATTCCCTCGTGCGAAGCCGCTCTTTCTGTTATAATATATTTATTTGCCTACCATCATATTTTCCGTGTATAATTTAAACTTTGATGCGCAAAAACATGGAGGTGCGTAATATATTTTCCTTCCTTTCGTATCAAATAATTTGTGCAAAAACAGATGTTTTCTTGTAACTTTGTGATGAGTTAAAATTCGCTGACGCACTTTTTTTTATTATACATACTTTTTGTTTTTTTTATTTGCCATGTGTTTACTTTATTCCCAACGTAGAATAGATGAGTTTAATTTTTAATACACACACACATAGTGAGACACACGGATATCGCAATAAAAGAAGCAAGGCGCGCAGAAAGAGTCGCAGGAAGGGCGAAAAATTCCAAAAGAGAATGGCAGAAACGACCGTAGAGCCTATATATGTCCGCGGTCCCTCCACGGTCGTGAATGTTTCGTACACCCCGAGAAAGGGAGTTATCGATTTAATTCTCCGGGAAAAGCTATGGGGGAAAAACCACGCGACACGCCGAACACACTTCGCGATCCGTTCTTTGTTGCGCGTCGTTGGAAACAGAATTTTTTTGGAGCACAAATATTTAGACACTTTTGTATAAAATATAAAATGAAACCAAATTTGAAAAACGAAATGTTATCAAATAAATTAAAAAATGTACTTTTTCGAACGTTTCGATTTTAATCCATTTTAATTATCTTCAGTGGAATATATTTAAAAAATTAACAATCACTCATGACTAAAATATGTGACGATGGAGTTTTTACGAGAAGATGAATGATTGATGACATGATGTCACTGTTTTTTAAGTTTATGACATGAATATGTCATTAAGATAAAATGTATTATGTGATTAAATGTGGTGTTAAATATTGTCAGTATGCTTAGCACATATTAGTGGAAACATCGTCAATACTGACGATCGTACTAACGTCAGTCTATACAATCTTAGCGACATATTTTTATAAACTTAACAACCTGTGACATCACATCGATAATTTATCTTAGTGTATAAAAACTTCATCGTCACGTATATAGACATAAAGGATGTTGATTTAACCTTAATCCTGTAAACTAAACGTTTTTTAAAGGTATTCTGTAAACTCTGAACATTTATGTCTGACGCGATTTTTTTATTGATTAAAACGTTATAAAAAATCTGTAAAAATTCATAGGGCTTTATTTAACATTCTATATTAAAGAAATAACACTAATTTTATATATTTTAGTTTTTAGAAATTCTTCCACATTAAATAGTTAATAAGATATCTTATTTTCAAGAATTGCTCGGACTCCAATGTTTGGAGTTTACAGGTTTATCAGCGTTAAATACTCTACTGAAGATAATTTAAATGGAAAGTCGAAATGTTTGGAAAATAAAATTTAAGTATGTTTAGTGCATAACACTCTGCTTTTGCTTCGAATAGTTTCAATTATATCTTGAATTTGGAGTTTTCGATATAAACCGGAAATCACTTTTCTGTATTTTATCGATTTCTACATAATTTATTATTATTATGTGAATTATAAATAACACGCATTGCACCAAGAGTGAAAAGAAAATAAATAAAGCTATTACAAATATTGAAAAACAACCGAAACCCAAATTATAAACAATAAATTAGACTTTCTGGTCAGCAATCCGCTGGTGTAGGTGGTTAATCAAATAAATTTCAAAAATATCTGAGATGTTTCGATTATTTTATTTGGATCATCATCAGCTATTCGCCGTAAGAGAGATAAATTTGAGAAGGTGTGACTACATTAACCAGCGGATTGCTGACCAGGAGGTCTAATTTATTGTTTATAAATAAAGCTATGTTTTTGTTTCATTTATTGCGTCTCTTTTATTTATTTATTTTTTTTTAAATCTATTTCTTTCTTTCTTTTCTTTTTTTTGTATCTATTTCTTTCTCTTTATCTTACGTCTTATTCTTTTTCTCGGAAATAGTTACGTTCGGTAACTTTGCTCATGAATAGTTTTTTAATACGCTTGAATATGTATGAAGGTAAATAGAGAGCTCAAGAAAGGAGAGAGAACCGTCGAACGCGAATATCTGCATAGTGTTTCTGTTATACGGAAAAAATTTTCTATTAAGACACTGAGAGAAAAAAAATAAGAAAAAAGAGAAAGAGAAGAAACTGTCCGGAATATAATCTCTGTGCCACTCGGTGACGCAAAACGTTTCGCGCGTATGTACATACAAGTGACACGTCTATTGATCACGCTGTCTCTTTCTTCTCGCGACAAACACGTGGCGCGGTACATTGTCGCGATTCTTCGCCGATGGATCACTATAGAATACTTTCATTGTGTTATCGCCCGATGGGGAAAAAAAGCCAACTGACTATTGTCGCTATTCAGCGCGGCCGTTTCGACCCATTGGCCGTTTCGATTTCACGAAGATCTTTCTATTGTCATCGCACGCGATGTGTTCGAATTGCGATTCTGTAAAACGTTCCACAACGTTATCAATCTTTTCGTGGCGCGTTCTATTTTCATTGCTAGTAAAAATCTTATTAATGTAATCCCACAAATTTTTGTACCAATAAAAATGTTTTTACACTAATAAACATTTGTCAAGTACGCGTATCGTCTGACTCGTATGTTTCCTGCTTGAAGTGAGTTACGCATTGGCAAAACTTTTGTTTTCAGCATACAGTCTGTTAATTAACTTGACGCGACTGCAGTCTATTCGCATTATTCTACGCGATATATAAAATACATCGTCATGTTCCACTTCGTCAAGTTTCACGACGCGCATGATGTTGATCGATATGCATTTTTCCGTCAATGAATATCGTCGCGTGTGTGACGCGTACGCGTGTGTGTTGTCTGGGACGGAAAATAGACAATTTTTAACGACGATACGAAGCACACACAACACAATGCGTGGCTGTCGAAAATTGTGCCGCGCCGCGCTCTGTCCTACGCGCATCGCTTCTAGACAAGCCTGTGGTGGGCGAGCGCGCGTAATGTCAGTTAATGTATACAGGATGTCCCCAAAAAAGGCGAGTGATGACATCCTGTCCTTGGCGCAATTTGCACGTGCATTAATCAATATATTATTAACAAGACTCAATTAGCGAAATGCATTCTTTGAACGCTTATTTTTTAAATTCTCTCTTTTAACGGAAATTATTGTGTATAACAATATTTTCAAATCGCTTTGAAAGACTTTCTAACGAGAATTTTTGATATTTTACATAGAGAAAAACAACTCTCTTGAAATAATTTCTGGAATAGAAGCCGTGGGGGCTTTCCCACGCGAATAAGTCTCCGATCAATTTTTAATTTCTCGTCGCTCTCTCGTGGCACACCCTGCGGGTTCCTACGCGCGCGCGAGCCCACGAAATATGCTCGCGAGAAAAGACGCAGAAAGCCTCGCGAGAGAGGGAAAGAAGGGAAAGAGCAGAAGCCAGGCAGAAGCGAGGCAAAAGCGAAAAAGGGAGAGACACACGGAACGCACACGCGCTCATTGAGATGCGTCTCGCGCGCATTTCTCCGCCGGGTTCCCGAGGACCGGAAGCTGGCTCGTCATACGTGCATTGTCATGCGTATCCGGTGCCTCGGAGTTAGCGGCTTATCGGAGCCGCTGACAATTCCTGGAATAGAGGAGCTCGTAATACTGATCTTTCCGCGGGAACACGGACATTAACTCAATCGGCCGCAATAATCGACAATATATCCCGTTGTTGCGAGCTTCTGTGGTCTTTAACCCGGTTTTTGTGCGCGTTAATGTCTTGATAAATTACGACTTACATCTTATACAAAGAACGATAATCTTGATTTTCTAAAAAGATCATCGAATAGAATCTTATCGTTTATTGATGCGCGGATATTACCGACCAGATATTAGGTCATGTATTGCGCGTATTCATAATTAAATATGCGCATGTGTGTGTGCTACAATTAAAATAACATAATAGAGTGATTCTCTAATTAAAATTTGCGAAACAATTTAACTTTGAAACGATAATTGATTGAAATATATGGAAAAAGCGTGTGCGCGCAATCAAGATGCTCCGTAATTGATTTGTGCGAGCATCCGTTTTAGTGTAAGCGCGCGCGCTATTAATAGTTATCGCGAGAGACGTGTTAGTTTACACGAGCGCAATGTAACGAGATCTAGTTAGCCGATGAATGACCGACGTTGCTCGTTAAAAAAATATCGGGTGTATGTATCGCCCGGCGGCTCGCAGATAATCGTTTGTTATGTTTCTGTTTTACAGCTGTGTACAACTGGCGAGGGGACACGCGCTACGGACTACCGCTCGAAATCGGAGAAACCGTGCAGATCCTGGAAGAGTGCGCGGGTGCGTAATTCGATAACTTACTTACCTACCTACGATCTTATCTTTTTCACGGACGATCGATTTTAAAACGCATGACGACGACGACGACGGCACGTGATAAATGTTGTACTTAAACGGAAATGACTGAAACAAGCATCAGGAAACGCGTGATAGGATAATATAGTCAAACGTTACACATCCTGGAGATTATATAAACGATCGGAAATGATGCACGTGAGGCGATAAAAATAGAATACAAAAAAGAAAGAAGAAAACGTCGGAACGTTTTAATCTTTAGATCACCGGGATTTTTTCATTAAAAACTATTTTTTAGAAATATTTTTTAGAAATATTACCCTGTCTCCAAAATACTTCCGAATTGGAAGAAAATCGGTTAAACAATTTGCGAAATATTACATACGACATTTGAAACCGCTGATATCGTAATATCACATCTTTGTTATTAAATCTCATTAAGTTCCTATTGGTTCCCAGACTTAAAAAACATGTTTTCATATTATTCTGTAAAGTATCAACAACAATAATCCACATGTATTTTATTTCCCGGATGATGAGCAAAAATCGATACTTTTTACCGATCATCCTTTTGTATCTCAAATTACGGCGAATTCGAAAGCTAAACTACATCATTCAACAACATATTTAGATTTTCAAAATATTTTTTCTCACAAATCAAGTCAGACGAAAAAGAACTTTTCTCCAAAATACGGTATAATATCAGCGTCCTCATATCACAATGCCACACGGTATCATGCCGGCGATCTGAAGGTTAATTTACACCCGTGAATACAAAAAAAAAAAAAAAAAGAAATTAACAGAGAAATAAATGTATGCTTGCCAAAAGATATGCTAATTACAGAATCGCGTATCAAACTACTGCTCGAGTATTTACAATTTGTTTTATCTGAGATAACGTCGGATTGAATTGTGTATTATTATATGATCACACACGTACGTGTGTGTAAATTGATATCGATCGCTTCACAGATTTAGTGCGTTATCTAATTTTCAATTAATTTTAGTATCTAAATTTTATAATCTTTGCGAATCGTGAATTTATGTATGACACGCGAGATAGATATTAAATTCTCAAAGCAAGTCGGGATGCATTCTGCGACTGAAATGAGAATCCCGACGATTTTAGGATGGTACAGAGGCTTCTCGACGAAGAACCGTGCGGTAAAAGGCATCTTCCCGAGTTCCTACGTGCATCTGAAGCCCTGCAAAATCGACAATGAGGGACTCTTCGAGTCGGTCATACCGCTGGAGGACCCGGTGGTGCGGGAGGTTACCCTGGTCCTGCGGGAATGGGGTGGCATTTGGAAGAGACTTTATGTGGTAAGTTTTTATTTCATTTCTCTCGTTTCTGCGAAAATAGTTTTTCTTTCTCTTTATCTGTCTGTTTTTCCATACATCGTATTTTATACAATTTATTATTAATTCCAATCCTATAAACTCCTGAACTTGTGCGTCCGAGCGACTTTTGAAAATAAGATATGTTATTAACTTAAAGAGAATTTCTAAAAAATCAAAAATCAAAATCAAAATAATGTTATTTCTTTAATTTAAAATGTTGAATAAAGTTCCGTGAAGTTTTACAGATGTTTTGCAACGTTTTAACCAATAAAAAGAATTGCGTTAGACATAAGTATCACGGTTTATAGGATCAGTAGGTATCTAAACAAACATTTACAGGATTGGGGTTAAAACAAAAAAATTAATAAAAGCAATACCGATTTTGATATTTATTTGTTTGTTTTAAATATTTCGTAGACTTTATCGATTAAAATTACGATCTGTTGTTTTTCCGTTTTTGTTTCGCAGGAACGGGAGGAGTACAAATTCAACGCGTTGCGCAAAGTAATGCGGGAGTTGCTGGAATGGCGACGGCAACTTTTGGCAGGGACCCTCACCACCGATCAGACACGAGAGTTGAAGTTGCGGATAATCAATAAAGTGGACTGGGGAAATCGGTAAGTGGGAAAAAAGTATATCTTCTTGCACTGAATTCGCGGCACGCGTCGTATAGAAACATGACGAAATGGAAAATTATTTTCTTTCGTCATCGCGTCTTTGTGTAGTGACACAGCTGTTGGAAGACACAACCTTAATTAGTTAATTAATTTCTGATCGATTTGTGTACACGTTCGTTCTACTCGATAATAATATTCAAAATAATTACGCCGGAAAGACTAAAGATCAAAAATAAATATCATTAAATTGTCATTTGTAAAACAGACTTTGTTCTCACTTCTTTCGGACGGGAATAAAATTAATTTTCTTTTTCCTAGTTTTTCTACGCTGTTATTAATTTAATATTCAAATGACCGAGTTGTATACTCAAATAAAGAAAAAGTTGCGGTATAATTTTCAATTAAAGTATTTCGCAAACAAGAACTTTTCTTCACAAATGATTTCTTTCCTCTCAATTGAGGAAAATTGTTGTCCGAATTAAACTTCAATCCGCAAAGGAAAAACTGCAAATTGGGTCATTCTCTCCGCACGCGACTAATCGAATTCGTTCTTTTGTCCGTGCCAAATTGCGCGGTTGCCAAATAAGGTCGACAAAAACAACACGTTGAAAAGAATTTCATTTATTTTTGTAGTTATAATCACTATAACGTCGTCGCAACATATTGGCAGTCTTCCTGTCGTTGTTGTTGGACGCGAAGATGCGTCTCGCTTCCTTTGAATTAAGATTAATACGCTTAACGCGTGTATTTCTTCTCGTTATTCTACATAACATATGATAGAGAAGGCACATTGCAAATATAACTATTACAACTATTATAATTATCAACTACGATTGATCTCTCGCTCTTTCTCTTTCTCTCTCTCTCTCTCTCTCATTCTTTCACTTGCTCACATGTTCTTCTTAAACGTCTATCTTAAGATATCACCTGGAGCGCGATTATTGTATTATCGGTAGCATATTTTAATCTAACGGATGTGCCAAGAGGATTATATCGCAAGAGGAAAAGGATCTTCAGCGTTTATGTTATTATTATCATCATTATACACAGTTAATTGCCGGCAGCGTTTGCTATATATCGTTCTTGCGGATATGAGAGGCGAATGTATCCAAGCTGCTGTCTGTGAGAGAAAGTTCCTATTGTCTCTTTGTTAACAGGAAGAAGGATTACCATATATGTGACTGCGGATTGTGCGAAATTTACGTCTGTCTTGTATTATACTTAACGACGCGTGTGTACACTATACGAAGATAACACTGTTCTATTGACAATTAAAGATTTTTTATAATGTTGTTTTCTTTCATGGGATCGAAGTAATAAAGAGATACAACAATTGGATCCTTAGTTTTCGTTTTGTTTTCACGAAACAATTGTATCGTCGAGGATAATTACTTTTTTTAGATTTTCTTTTGTCTTATTGTATTGCGTTTACAAGAAATATATGTGCGTACAATAATATATGTGCGATATATTGTCTCTGTTTCACTTCGAGGTCGTTTTTCTTTTTTTTTTTAAATTTCGAAAGCTGCAAATTGAGTCAATGAGCAATTCTCTTAAACAAAGATCCACTATAGTGATCTAAGAAATAAACATAAAAGAAAGAACGTGGTCGATTCACACCGCTGTGCTTGTCTTTTTTTTTTATTCGCGAGATCTTATTCTTCCTTTTTATAGTTTTGAATTTTAATTGCCCCCTCCCATTCACTTTAACCTCGAACACACAAACATTTCTCGCTGTACAAATTTATAGTCTTACTACAGGCATTGATATTCTTCTGAAACATATTGATGTATATTCCCTATATTCTATATTTATTAGACTACTTAGGCAGTATAGATTGTATCTTCTATTCGGGCGTGTTTAAGTAATGCTTTCTTCTATCATCGCGACGCGTGCGAGATTATTGACACGTCGCAAAAAAAAACTTGCAATATTCATATTACGTATAATATACATGTACATATATTCGCATAATTGTTCAAAAAAAAAAAAAAAACAAAACAAGGCAGATTTGCTGTAGAGCGGAAGTTCCTGTCTTTTTTTTTTTATAATGCTTGTGTCGTCGTGATGAGATCGTGTAATATGACATTCGTCGTTGCACGAATAATAAGATAATCTCTCTCTCTCTCTCTCTCTCTCTCTCACGAGATTGATTCGCTCTTGATGTCGAAAATATTGCCGCACTCCCTTATTGGACACGAGCAATCTGCGGTGCATTGTTTGTTACGTATCACGGCAGAGCTAGTGTCGCAAAATATTGCGCGCAAACATTTGTCTTGTTGTATATAGCGCTTTCAACTTTCGCTTTTTCTCAATTATCCTCGAGAACTTGCAAAAATGCAAAAATGCAAAGAAAAAAAAAGGAATGTTACATTTGTGATATAAACCAAAGATTTGACGAACCTACGTTACACACGTGTAAAACACGTGTTAATCTGTTATTCTTGCTCGAATCGCCATGAGATATGAGTTTGATATGTAGAAGAAGAAGAGATTAGTAATTGTAAATTACTAATTACTAATAACTTGAATTGATAATAAAAAAAGACATGCAATTTTTTATCTAGGATGGAAGAGCTAGACGTTCTCGCGATCTTATCTTCGTCATAAAACAGACACACGTGAAAACACGCTTCATCGAGAAAAAAATACAGCGCGTATATTTATTGGTATTTTTTTTTTCATATATAATCTAACACAAGTTCGTGCTGCAACTGCTGCCAGTGTGTAAAGTATCAGGCGTACTTTTCGTCTTGTTTGATCGGGTGAATAGACACGTCGAAATGCAAACACTTAAATCCTACTTTTTACGATTGCCACCGCGCCGCTCGAGCAGAACAATTTCTAAGAACTTATTAATGCAAATAGAAATCTTGCGGCAAAAAGTGGCAGTGGCACGGGTGCGGCAAACAAAACTGTTAAAACGAACGACATTTACGTTCGTTATGTGGATAAAAAGAGACTGACATGTCACGAGGACTGACGTTGGCTCGCGATGTTTTTCACGTTTATAAGCTCAGATTTTACGAAAGACGATATATGAGATTATTATGAAATAATAATCTCATATATGTATATATGAGAATATTAATGATAAGTAATGATATTTTGACGAAGTTGATTAAACGCCGTTGATTGCGTTGGTTTAAACTACATGATAACGTATATACAATTAATATATATATAATATCTTAATATAAGTAATTGGAAAAGCGAGATTTTCATATAAAACTTCAGTCAGAGAATCATTGTGTCTTTCTTCTCGATTGGCCACGTCTTTGCGCGTACACAGCCACCTTATTCTGTAACTTGTAACAATCTAATTTTTTTGTTAATGTATGCTTGCACATGCATTACACGACGTCATACGTTAAAAGCTACAGAATAAGTGTTTGAAAGCTTCTTTAGACGTAAACATAAAAAAAAAAGAACTCGGCTGGTGTTTACGATCGAATAATGAACAGAAAACTCCCGGCTCGAAAACGTAAAGGTCGAGCTTTTATGTTTTACGAGCGTTGACGGTTAATAGGTGAGAAGAACCACGCCGAACACAAGTACCAAAGCAGCAAGAGAGACGCGTGGAAACACATCAGATACACGTGATTTTTACCTGACTGGCGACACAGCACGAACCGTTCTTTTTGTTTATTGGCACCGAGACGACGGTATCCGCAGAACCGTCCCCGATATTATCACAATATAAAATATAAACAAAGTAGAACGGGAAAATGAGGGGCAGTAAAAGGAAATTAGATCGACATTTTGTTCTCGTGTCTAGATCTCGGTGTCCTTGCCATATTTCTCGGTATCCTTGCCGTATTTATCAACGATCTCCGGATATATCGGCATTTCCAGGGTGCTGGGCGCCGACGGCATCGATGTCGGCGAAGCGCCACTGCTGCTGCCACCAAACTGCAATCGACGACTGTATTCCTGTAGCACTTCGGTGAACATCATGAGATTCATGTTTTGGCCCAGCAGATAAAGCAAAAGAAAATCACCGACCTGAAAATTTAATCGATTGTTTAATTAAATCTGAACGAAAACTAGATTCTGTTAAAATAAAAAATGCAATAAGTGTAAAAAAAAAAAAAAAACTGAAATCGTCTCGTTATTTTTCACAAGTTGTCAAAGTTGTCCGAAACTGTCCGAATAATTCAAAAGAATCTTACTTGTGTTTTTCGGATGAGCGCGCTAACCGACGCTGGGGTGCCGAATTTGTAACGCTTTCTGATAATCGTCTCGCGTATGCTGGGCATCAGCACGATGACGATGCTGTACAACATCGCCAGACCGGACATAACTGCTAAGATGATGAACCAGAACCATAACAGAATGTAGATCTTCTCATTGAGAATGTTGAGCGCGAGCACGCAGAGAGCGTCGTGTTTCTGGATCGTGCCGGAAGCACCAAACTTGTGGAAAGTACACTTGGTGACGCGAGGGAATATTGCGATCATCGGGTCGTAGCGTTGTTCCTGATTCATGTTGCTGAATTTGATCACCTCTGTGCCATATGTCAAGAAGGCACCGCCCAGGAAGGTATCCACGAAGAATATGTTGCCAATCTGAGAGGAAGAGGCGACGTATATACGCGTCACTTTGACAAGAAGTCGAGTGTAATTTTAACAAAAATAATTAAAATTAACACAAAACTACATTAACGTATAGCTTTTGATATTAATAATCGTGTGTGCAATACTCACAGTATTAACAAAGTTGAGAGCCTCGCAAAAGAAGTATCCGGCGGCGTAACTGTTGTGCAAATGCAAGGTCTCGATCAAATACTGGACCAGTCGGTCAATTTTTGCTTGTCGCTCCTGTTTAGTCTCGATCATTGCGCCTCTCATGCCCTCGGTAATTATCCTGATCTTCCCATCCTCCCACTGTTTCCACATCCAATGCGGTATGTAGAAAAGTATACCTTGGAAGAAAAGCATGAACGGCACCCACTGGTAATACGAGTGGTACCTCTTCTCGCCATCTTGATCGTTGCCCAGACCCGGGTGTGCCACGTGCGTGCCCACGGGTTTGGCGAGGTTATCCGGTAACGTGAACGTGTATGTGATCCAGCAATACGTGTTGATCACCGAACCCACCGAGCCATCAGACATACAGCTAATGGGATCTCCTGTACAAGTATAACAAAATTATTGAAATAAAATTAAAAAAAACGATGCTTGTTAGTCATTACAAAAACTTAACAAAAAATAAGTATCAGGTAGCTCTTGAAACCCTGATGAAGTGAGCTGAAATGTTCACGAAACATAGGTATAAAAATGACACTAACGCGGTTCAAATCCGAAAAACATCTCCGAATAAAAAATAAATTGGATAAGTTATTAAAAATTGAACTTCTTTTTTTTATGTTGTGTTAAATCACAAAATATCTTGACTCTCATCATTTTTTTCTTCAGCTGTAATAATTTAAGATCAATTCAAGCAACAGGAAAATAACTAAGAAGAGAAAATAATTGCAAAAAAATATTATTTACATAATAATATATGTAAATTAAATGAATATTGAGAGAAAAGAAACAGGTCGTACAAAATAATTGAAGCACCATTTTGTACATCTTCCTCACGCGTCTTTCAGTCACTTTGTCACCAGAGTAATTCCGCGGCATTACCGTTCTTAACACATCTTAATTCCCCGCGTAATTAGCGAACGTCGAGGAGAACGACGTTATCACACGTTCGCGACGGAAATAACTTCTTTTTTTTCTTTTTGCGTGAGACACGTTGCAAACGAGTCGCTTCGTCGGATGTTGCGGTATCGTACTAGGAGACGGGAGCTACTCGAAACCCGATATCGAGTATCATTCTTACCCACCCGGCTTGACGAGGAGCGTCGCTGATGGATCTTTTGACGGTAACGCAAGCGTTAAATTCGCGGCGCGTTTTATTATGAATCTCGCTCGGATTAATGACAAAACGCAGATTAATAATAAGTCCAAGTTTTTATTTTCAGCAACGTTTCCTTGTATTTTCTCCGTTTCTCGCGATTAGTAGTTGACCAGAGAAACAATTAACAAAAAAAACTTATTAGCATACGCGGTTGTCTCGTAGAATAGAATTTGTACGAGAAAAAAACTATGAAAACTAAAAAAATTACCTGAAATACTCGTGTACTATAGACGAAGGTCAAGCAAACGCAGATGTTGTTGGTGTGTGAAACGTTTCTTTTTCTTTATTGTTTGAGGTTTTTCGAAACATTAAATAAGAAACGTGATTCTTACTTATCACACACAACATCTGTGTTTATTTAAATTCTGGTTGGGTTTCATACATACGTGTACACGTATCTCAGATCGTTCTGTACAGAGCCATCAATTAAAATATTTTTTTATTACTTGAAAACAATTACATTGACAAAATGACAGAGGAAACACAAGTTAGAAGAGAGAGAGAGAGAGAGAGGAACGAGTGTCTAAGATCTCAATGGCGAAATTGTCTCGAGCACACAGCTGGGACACGTATGCGGTACAGTTGCTCACATAGAGACCAGATGTTTTGCATCGTGCCTATGATAAGCAATAAAATTATACAACGGCTCACTGAAGCGATGCGCAACGAGATATATTACATAGCAGTTACAATCGCGAAGCTGTAATTCAAATCTAGCAAACACAGACGAAAATAAACATCTCAAAATATTTTTTAATCGATTATTTTTCAACCTCTTGTATTTTTTTAATTTTCAATTAGCTCGTTTAGATAATTAATTTTCGTGTAACGATTTAATAAAAAAAACTTCTTCATTCGCAATCATTAACAATCTATCAGTCGCAAGCGGCAAAGAGCAAACACACACGTGTGTGCGTCTCTTTAGAGACTCGTAATCACATTCTACGTAATTGCCACATCCCATCTGCTTATGACTTCGCGTAATAAAAAAAAATCCACTCGTCATTAATCACACCGCGCGCGAGAGCGACCTCGATTCGTCAATCTTATAAACGGAGAGAAACGAGCGGCGCTTTAAACGCGTGCATCAAGCAGACGGCGAGTGTTACGAGCGAGGGGGCGCGGACGTACACTTATAATCAGCGCGCGCGGTTGGTCGCGCATTGTGTCGCCGTATGTATATAATACGTGTAACAATAAAAGAGCGACCGTTTAAAATCCGTGTTGGAGAACTCGGTCTACGCGCAAACATACATCCGTCCGAGGATGTAACGCGACACCGTATATAATCTCCCGTTCCGGAGTTCCCTAATTACGACCGGCTGCGCCTTCGGCCACCGGCTTACGATTACGATGCAAGTGGCGCAGTTGATCTCCGACCCGGTGGCGACGTAGCCCGGTGGATTGAACAATTTTCATTATCGCGTCTATTTTAAGCGCGCACGTTGTTTTGCGAATTAATGTCGCCTATTTACTCTTTTATTTTTTTCTTCTCTCGACGTGCATTTCAAACACTTCCCCCGGTGGATTCTTTACAATTTTTGTTTGTTTTATTTTGTTTTGTAAAAAATTTTTGTTTAAGATAATACGTTTTATTACTTTTATATCTTTAGAGTTCTCCTCTCTACTTTCATTCATCATGATTGTCTTATCATCGCTTTAATTGATAAATTAATTGTTACGATTTTTCAAGTATATGATAATCACATTTATTTCGCTTAGAAAAATCACGTGATTTGAAAGCGCAAAGGATATTTTTTTCCGTGTTATGTTCCCGGAATCTCGTCTTTCATTCTCAAGGACAAATGTCTAGAATTCTTTCTTTCTCTCGAACATGCGAAAGAGAAACGGAAGATACCTCACCTATCAAGTTATTGGTAGTGACAATGAGGCAGCTGAAGATTAGCATGGCCGCTGTGGTTCTGTAATGCATTCTGAAGACCATGTTGTCGGTGATGGCCCTGTCGATCAGGTGTCGCACCTTCACGAAATGGGCGATCGACGACGCCAAGTTCAAAATCACCATTTTCGTTCAATCTGTACAAAAAGAAAACATTTATCGTCACCATCACGAACAGCTACTAGTCGTAGAATTAATTTAATAAAATAATTAAATAATTTTTTCTCCACACTACTCGAGCGAAATTTTTCGAGTTGCACATCTCGAGTAACAAACTTCTTTGTCCGAGAGTTCCTTCAATCGACATCCGCGATCGCGAATAACCGTTGAACAACCTTGAGATTTGTTTCTATTATTGTATCACATTCCATCTCAAAATTAATCTCACAATCGTCGGCTGAAGAACACGATGGTGAAAAATACGAGTGCAAAAGTGTGTGCCACTTTCAGTCGTGTTTCCCTAATGGGTAATTCAAAGAGCGTTTCATTGATTCCTCCGTGAGAGGAAACATTAGCATTCTTATCGTATAAGTCAGTAATTTATAATGACTCAGTCGCGTTAAAGGCGTTCATTCGGAAAGGAGACGAGGCTCGAGTTTCTCTCTCGTGTCTCTTTAGCAACACATCGCGTCGGAATTACCTTACAATTAATTCAGCTACAAACACGAGTAGCAAAAACAGACATTTCGCGAACTACATTTCGCTGCGACGTAGATCGTTAAATCTTATCTTGCATCTTTCCGGCAACGGTCTTGCGTCGTTTGAGAAATATTTAATTTAAACGTCGCGAGAGATGAAAAGATGACTTCGCGCGAAACGCGAATTTAGCGTTGCAAAACTGACAATCCAAAGTTCGATTCAAAATGATTTATACGCTAAAACAAATCCGCGGAACAACTCAAAGACAAACAGACGTTTCAACGAGCATCGGTTGCGAGCAAAGGATTAATTCCGCGAACGTGGCTCTTTGTTTACGGGCGACAAGCGTGGCTTACTTCGATCCGATATTCGTGTCCTGCGGAGCGTTTCACTTCGACGTAATAATAAAAGCGAAAGCTGTTCTGTTCCGTTTTATCCTTCGCGTATTCAGGAAAATCGACGCGCGACTGACGCGGGGACTGACGACTATTCGTTGTGATTCCCTTTTGGGGAAGACCCTCGGGACCCTTCTCGTCACGAGAGAGGGATGTGTCCCGACACCCCCCCGATACCGTACCAATAGTAAAGTCGCGCGCGCGGGGCCGGAAGCAGATGTGTGCACCGCGCACACAGGGGGATCGATACGGAGAGGAAGAGAGAGAAAGAGAGAGAGAGACACAAGAAGCCTCATTTTCTAAGCGCGCACAACCCATAGACTTGTTCTCTCGCTGCTGGGAAACAAAGCATCCGACGAGACCGGAATTGCCCATGTCCCTCAACCTCCCCTTCTCTCTTCTCGTTACCTCGTCCTCGTTTTCGTCGTCGTCGAATTTCTGCGAAACGACACGTGTCTCTCGCTCACGGCGAACCGGCTATTTTGCACAAGTTAAAGAGGAAACGACGAAGGTTTATTGTCTGCGTTTCGTGTACTTGACAAGAATGTTATGTTCCACGCGTAACGTAAACTTGAAAAACTTTTGAGGACGAGAGTTGCAAACGCGCCGATGTGTGATGCAAAAATAAGTCTCAACTCGAAAATACATTTATGCGAGTTTTAAGTGCCGTTCCGTGCGCGTTATTTTATAATTAGACGCGTCCGTTTCGCGCTAATTTGCGCGCATCCAGAGAACTCGTCATTCTCTCCGCGGTTTCGCGCAAAAAGTTTATTTGTGTAACGTTGACGTAATGCCGCCCGGCGTCGCAATCAAACAATGAACGGGGAGTGATATTACTACTATAGTACATTAATAACAATTATTATTAGTGTTATTATCACGAACAGAATAATAGCGTCTTGTTTCTGTCGTTGCTCTCGTATCGCGAAAGCGTTATCAAGCGCGATAGTATGTTCTTTCTATCCGGTGCATGATTCAAGGGCGAACTCGTAAGTCCATTTTCTCTGTCTTTGTTTCTCTATCTCTGTGGGGTCTCTCTTTCTCTCTTCTTCCCCCTCTCTCCGTTGAAATTTTATTAATTAATTGAAAGGACGGTTGGGGAGCACGCGTGCCGCGAGAGATCGATCTGTGCGCGAGGACGCGAGTTCACCGGAGAATCGCGTGCGTCCTGTGTATACATGCGGGACGGATTATTAGTGTGACAGAAAAAGCGTCGACGCACAAGAAAGTTAGTCATTTGGTAAACAAAAGACTTTCCACACACACACACACACACACTCATAAAACGGATGTTTAACGAGAAAGAACTTTTATACGTCTCGATAAAAATGTCATATTCCTATATGTTCAAGATTCAAACAAATTTAGAAACGCAGTAAGTTCACCGTTCGCGTGTTGCAATCATCGGAGTTGATTTGAAAAACATGCGCGCATGGAAATTAAACGTCGCGGTCGAATGCTGCTTTGTCATAATTCTCGGTCAAGGCGGACGTTTTACTGATGCTGATGCAACGTCACGTAACGATATAATCGAGGAGATCGAGTTTATTAACCTACTTATTTTCTAATCAAAGTCTCTGTTCGTCTAACCCCCTCGTCTTGGTGGATTCCGCTCCAAAATCAGAGGACTTCGCGTTAAGAAAGTCGGACTTAAAAAAATATTTTTGTTTAGTAACAAAAATGTTCTTTGTGTGTTCGAAATTCCTTCATAATGAATTTTCGCGACTTAGCCGGGAATTTTAGCTTGTGTGTCTTCCGCCAAGGCGAAGGCGCTAACTTGGCATGTACACACGTGTAATTGCAACGTGTGAAATTTCAAACCATCAGGCGGACTGGCTGCTCGGCAAGAATCGATTCCGGGTGAACAAAATTCCGCGCGTATCACTTTGTTTTGGTTTTGCAAGTTTATACAAAGTTGATCTCTTGAGGAAAAGAGAGAGATGAGTTAATGAGATTAATTATAAAATCTAATCAAACGATACATAAATTATCTTCTTTTTATCTTTTTTTGAAAAAAAATAAAAATAAAAAATAGCTCGATTATAGTATCGCCTTCATTATCGAACGTTTTTGTGTTTCTTCGAAGCAACGAGCGACTTGCAACAGACAAATGGAAAAACAGGAAATGTCAGAATTCACTTAAGTATTTTTTTCTCAAAGGTTCAGATCTCTTCGAGCACCTTCATTCTTTTGCCACGATTCTCGAGACATTCCAAAGGCGGAGGAACCGGCCATCGTTAAACCAGTTGCTGGCCGCTTTCTTGAGTGGACAAGAAAGTGGTAGAGGAGAGAGGGGGGAGGGGAGGAGTAAAACTACGTGAGTGACCGATGACGACGTCGGCGACGACCACGATGAGAGAGGCCGATACCCTTTTATATACATGTTCTCGCCTTGATTAATCATATTTCTCGAGCAACTAGACGCGACTTACATATGTACATTCGACATAGCGAACATAGCGAATATTTCTCGGAATTTCGCAAGTTCACGCACTTTTATCCGGAACGGCATCGTGTGTCGAGACAATCGTAAAAAAAAAAAAAAAAAAAAAAAAAAAAACGTTAATCGATTATTCACCACTTGACTTTGTTTTATTGTTTTTGTCGCACTTTTTAACGCGGTTGTTATCGCATTATTCATTGGGAATTGGATTTTATACTCATTAAGTTGTGAAAAGAACGTGGTTTTTTTTTAAACTAAGGTGATATTACAGTCTAGTGAACCTACACACACATACACACCTGGAGAACGATTTTACGGCGTTGCACAATCGTACGTACTCGCAGTTAAGAGGTTCTATCGGGCCACGGCAATAAATCCGCCGTAAACGCCGAGAGAGGGATTTTTGTCGTCATCGTAGTTCCGTAGAAGTGTCGCTTCTTTTCTAACGGCTAGAAGGTTTGGTTGTTTTACACCGGATGATGAAATACTCACGCGAGCAGTCGACTCGGAAAAAAGCAAAACGTTAGATGCAGTTATCTTTTAGTAATTTTTTGCCCCTTTAACATCGGGCGTAAAATTAGAGGCAAGTAGCTATGATAGATAAACAATATATGTATATAAAATTTTATTTATTAATTTTCTGTAACAAATTTATTTTTGGACGACTCAACCGAAAATTCGTCCAAAATATTGAACGTGACGTTTATGCTCTCGGTAGCGAAAATGCAACGCAACGAGGTGTCGCAAAAATCGACGAGACGACCGTGGTTTTTCAACTTGGTGGTTTTCTTCTCACGACCTCCGTCCGATCTCTCGCGTACGAATTGTCCGTATCGGGTTACGGATGCAGAAAACAGGTTTGGGATCGCGCACGGATACCGCCGTTCGCCGGCCGGCCGGCCGGTCGCGTCGCTCCGAGAGTTCGATAAAGAATTGAGATACTAAATACACGATCGCGAAAAATCGCTCCAAGCATTCCTCTTTGTTCGCGAGACGCGGAGTCTCTCGCGATCGACGAAGACACACATCGATTTTGCTCGTTTTCAAATTGCATATCAGAAGAGAATCAAAAGTCGATTTTCGCGTCGCTAAACGACGGATAGACGCGAAGCGGAATTCTGTTGATTCACACGGCATGGTCAACAGGTAATAGAGACTGAGAGATTTATACACGCGCGGCCGAGTGATATAGGAACTCGAGAACGATTTGTAGGTCGGAACAGTCGCGCGGGGCGACTGTGCAACCGCGTAACGAGATTTACGTACGTATACGCGGACTAATAACGGTTGCTAATGCGAGAGAGACAGCCGTACGCGTATGTAATTGGAACATATGATTTATGTACTCGAATGTTGTACTCGAAGCCGAAGCTGCGAGTTATACACGTCCGATGTGAACTCGTCGCGCCGCCGCACGCGATTACACGGGATTGAAATGTCATCAGGTGCGCCGCGCGACGACACAACTGGATTATTAGATTATCCCCGATGTATTTCACATTCATAAAAGCATTGCTAACGCGCGCGCGCGCACGTCGTATCTTTTTACATTATCGGATTGGCATTTCAGTCTCGTGTCGAGCGACACGACTCGCGCGCTTTTATTGAATAATACATCGCTAGAAACTGATTCAAGAAAGATTTCTCTGAAGTCAAATAGCTTGATTGTTCGCGTGAATCACGTCGATTCCCAGATCCGCGCCGATAATTCAATATAATAGCAAAGAAGCATATTTGAGGCATAAATCATCTTCAGTTTAGTTATTTTTTCTTTCAGATTAATGCTTTGATTTCCTTTAAAAAGTCTATTTCTTCTCACGTGTGCAAACAATCACACGTGAATTACTTAACGAGCGAGAGAAACTTAGTACGACAGTCTTTAATCGCGCGAGAGATTTTCCTTTCATTCACCGGGGAGAAGATTGCTAATCGCAATCGAACGCACGAACGAGCGATACAATGAAGCCGAGAGAGTGAAGGGTACTACGTATTTCGTTTGCGAATGTCGCGGGAACGTCGAGTGAAAGGCGAGAACTCGCGCAAAGTACAAATGTTATATTATCTTCTGCTTTTTGTTTTCACGAAGCGGATTTTACTCGAATCAAACGAATTTGTAAACTATTTCGTTGACGCAACAACGCCCGAAGATTAACGACGTTTTGTATCAATTGCGCGGCTCGACGAATGAGAAACGAGGCCGCAGGAATTATGTTAATTACCGCGCGTATATAGCCGAATTGTGTTCGATCGCGTTGCGTAACGTTGCGCGAGAAAAAAAAACAGACTCCGGTCTGCGCGCGAGAACAAGCGATGTCTGACCGGCGACGAGATTCGTCATTTGTTTCGAGAGATCGTTCGTACGCCTTGCGGCGTTATTCGAACGTTATTTTCCACACCGGCGTATTAGTATTCAATCCACGACTGCGGGTGTACAACGTAAAGCCTTTTTTATATACAGCTCGATAGAGACACGCACCTTCGCGTAAAACGGTAAAAATTGATGGCGATTCGAGGAGAAGGTTAACAGCCTCTCACGTGTTTCAGACTCGCGGTGTGATATAATGTCGATGAGAGGAGAATTTATAGTACGATAACGTATTCAACATCAATGTACGTGTGTAGTCGCTAATTTACGTGTATGAAAAATATATATTTTTTTGTAACCGAGATAAATAAAAAAAAATTTAATTAAATTTATTGCGAGGATTCGAGAAGTTGATTCTCGACACTCAAGACGACTATTAACTTTGATTTAATTTTACCTTCTATTATTCCAATTGACTTTATTTTCTCGTGGTTTTTTTATTACTCGATTAATCAAATCGCGCGATACGGGCTTTCGACTGGGAAATCAAATCCCACGTAATAAAACAGCGCGTATCACATCTGAGATTTGCGAGATTGATTCGTCTTTGCGTAACACCTAGCGACTTTATTGACACTAGTGTCTCTCCTGTTGTATGTGTAAGCGCGCAATGAAAAAAAAAAAAAAAGACTCAACGTTTCTCTTCTGAGGTGAAGGCGTCAGATAATGCTGTTGCGCACATATGTGTATCTCGACTCCTCGCGACGCACGCCGGACCTTTTTTTTATTGTCGTTTTATCATCGGAAAAGTGAAAAGCGATATAATGCGCTACACAGAAAATTAAATGCGGTGTTTGTTTAGAGGAGGAACGCAGATGAGTCATAAAATTTGTAGTCAGTTACAACATAGTCAAATCACGTTGTTTAAATAATCGAGTTTTATTAGTCGAGACAACACAGTTTTCATTATCTTACTACCGATTTGTCGAAAGTTATTTTCTTGACACGAAACGAAGTGATAGAATGAGGAAAACTATGTATTTACTTACACGCTTACTATATTTATTTGTGTTGTGATAGTCGAGTCTGTCGGAAACTGACACTGTTAAATGCGTTATACAAAAAAAAAAAAAAATAATAAAAAAAAA